CCGCACCTCCATTTTAGTGATTCATTTTATCTAGCCAGAGTGAAAGGTGAATTTTATACTGAATAGAAATAAAATTGTTAGAATGAGAACAGTGAGGGTGGGCGGGGCTAGTACTTGCTAAGATAAGACTGATTTTGGTAAATGACATATCTTCTAAAAAAATAAAGGGTGGGTGGGCGGGGTTCTACTTATTAAGATAAGACTGAACAATATTAAGTACTCACTCGAATGAAGAGAGGGTAGGTGAGCGGGGTTAATGCTTGCTTATAAAAGACTATGTAGGAATATATATATACAATTAACCCCGCCCACTCACCCCCCCTCCATTTCAGTGATTCATTTTATCTAGCCAGAAAGAAAAGTGGATCTTATATTGAACAAAATAAAATCGTTAGAATGAGAACATATCTTCTAAGAAAATAAAAGGTGGGTGGGCGGGGCTAGTACTTGCTAAGATAAGACTGATTGTGGCAATTAAACAAAAAAAAAACAAAAAATCCATTTAATAATTATTAAATGTTTTTCAAAATTTTCTATTAGAAATGATTCGCGTTTGTCATACGACACATATTTTAAGATTGAAAGCGATCTTTCAACATCGACAGAGGTTATTGGAGCAAATTCTAAATTCTTTATTATATCTGGATCTATTTCCACTTCTACTTACAAGCGACAAAGTATATATTAAAACCTACATTTTTCTTTTTGAGTTAAAAAACAGCTCATTTTTCAAATTTGACTAAATGTAATTCTAGAATGGCACAAGAATTTGCATTGCGGTTTGAAACATTCGATTCGTTGAATCTTTTTAGCTTAATGAGCAAATTGCTCAACCAGATCCACGATCCGCTTAGCATAGAATGAAGAATATATACATTTTCAGCTGAACAAAATTTTTTGTCAAATTAACGAGGTATAATTCCAAAGTGGCACAGGAGTTCATATTGAGGTTTGAAGAGTTCGATTTCTTGATACTTTCTACTAGTATGAGCGAACTTTCAGACCGAATACTTGATTCGCGTATGTTAGAGATAAACATATAACGAGGTGTTATTTATGAGTTAAAAAACAGTTTTTCTTCAAATCTACTAGTCATAACTTTAGAACTATAGAAGAATTGGCATTGCGGTTTGAGGTACTCGATTCCTTAAAGGTTTGTAATTCTATTAGCAAATTTTAACACCGGATCCTCAATCGTTTTAGCATGGAGTGAAGAATATATGAGAAATTGCCATTTTCAGCTAAAAACAGATTTTTTTTAATTTAACGAGATATAACTCCAAAACGGCATAGGAATTCATATTGCGGTTTGAAGAATTGGATCTCTTGACGTTCTCTAGTAGTATAGTGAATTTTCAGACCAAATATTTGATTCGTGTATATTAGAGACAAATCTACGAACAAGGTGTCAGTTTTGAGCTAAAAAACAGTCTTTTTTCAAATCTAACTAGACATAACTTTAGAACTATAGATGAATTAGCATTGGGGTTTAAATTACTCGATTCCTTAAAGATTTGTAATTCTACTAGCACATTTTCAGATTGCGTTCTCTATCCATTTAATCAGAAGTGACGAATATGTAGGACGGTGTCATTTTTAAAATAAAAAAATTGGTCTAAAGAGTTTAGACAGTACTTCCCTCGCTGTCGGAAACTTGACGACTGCATGCCTATTGTGTTTTTTTTCTCATTACATTTTTGTAGTGGGAATTTAAAAAAAAATTGCGATGACGTCATCAACATTTGTGCAAGGACACGTATATCAGTTGGGATAGATGTAGTGTAATACTAAGAATAAAATTATTATATTCTCAAATTTTCGGGAAAATGAATTGGGTCGTTTTGAATATTGATTTGTAATAATCAATAAAATAACGAAACAATTTACTCACGTATATGTATCAGAGGCAACTGAAAATCTTGTATGTATAAACATTCTTAATTTAAGATGACAGGCGTAACAGCATACGTGAGAGTCAAACAGAGAAACTGTAAACAAAACGACCATCGGTTTTATTGCTTCGACTTCCGCTTGTTATATAAAACATTGGGTTTTATTTTAATTCTTGACGGTGAAATTCACAATTGGTTGATTATAAACATGTCACATTCGCGGAACCAAGTGAGCGCATAAAACAAATGCAGGTCTGTAATGTTAAAGTCGATGTAAATAAGCGTGCTACCCTTATGTTTCAACCGAGTTTTTCCTTTAACAAATTTTGTGTCTACCAAATTGGGTTGGTTGGGGTGTAATACTAATAATAAGTGTTGCCTTTAATTTAATCAATAAAATAAATTGACTTCAATAATTTTTTTGAACCACCTCTTAAGAAAATCTAAAAAATATGAATGGAATGATAAATCACATGTACAAACTCATCATATTTTTTGCATTTTAGATAGGATTTATTCAGCAAAATTTAAGGGTGACGTCATCAATTTTTTTAGGAGGGATGAACAAATACATTTTGAACAAAAGTTTACCATGCTTATAATAACTTTAAAATATTCCCAAGATTTCAAAGCATTCGGTTTTGTAATTCCTGATTAAATCGATAAAATAAAATAAATTCACGCCTTCATTAATTTTTTTGAGTCACCCTGCATATGCAAATCCAAAAATATGAATGGAATGATAAATGACAAGTACAGACTCATCATATTTTATACATTTTAGATACGATTTATTCGGAAAACTTTTGAGCTGACGTCATCAGTTTTTTGTAGAAGATAACCAAATATATTTTGACTAAAAATTAATTATGCTCTTTATAACCTTAAAACATCTGCAAGATTTCAAAGCATTCGGTTTTGTAGTTCCTGATTAAATCAATAAAATAAATTTACGCATTCATAAATTTTTTTGAGTCACCCTGTATATGCAAATCGAAAAAATTTGAATGGAATGATAAATCACAAAAAGAGACTCACCATATTTTGTACATTTTAGATAGGATTTATTCAGCAAAATTTTGTGGTGACGTCATAAATTTTTTAGGGGGGACGACCAAATACATTTTGATCAAAAATTTACCATGCTTATGATAATTTTAAAATATCTTCAAGATTTCGAAGCATTCCGTTTTGTAGTTCCTGATTAAATCAATAAAATATATTTACGCATTCATTAATTTTTTTGAGTCACCCTGTATATGCAAATCCAAAAAATATGAATGGAGTTATAGATTACAAGTACAGACTCATCATATTTTGTACATTTTAGATATGATTTATTCCACAAACTTTTGAGCTGACGTCATCAAGTTTTTGGAGGGGATAAGCAAATATTTTTTGACTAAAGATTTATGATGCTCTTTATAGCCTTAAAACATCTGCAACATTTCAAAGCATTCTGGTTAGCAGATTAAAAATTAAATTTCAAAATGTTGTTTTATAATTTTTATTTTTTTTCCAAAAATCTGGACGTTTCGGGTGAAAAGTCGATTCAGAGTTGTAAACTACATGTGTAGGGCTATGTTATTTTATACAATTGAAAACCCATTTACTATGTACAATTTTGAAGTGACGTCATCGCATTAGTGGTGGGGATGATTAGACAAATTTTGGTTAGCGTTTTACCATCTACATGATATTCTTAATATAAGTACAAAATTTCACAACAATCGGTCGAGTACTTTCGGAGATTATCTGTCTAATAAAAATCCGGGACAACAGACGGACAGACGGACGGACAGACGGACGGACAGACGGACAGACAGACGGAAATGGGAGACCTATTTCTTCGTCTTCTAGGGGTCATGAAAGATCGAGAAAACGTAAAAGTAGAGAGTCGGCCGACGGACTCGATTACAATACTTCCTTTGCTTACGCTCGGGAAGTAAAAACGCCCTTTTTTTTCAAATTTGACTAGAGATAAGTCTAGAAATCTACATGAATTTGGATTAATTTGGATTATGGTTTGAAGCATTCCATTCCTTAAAAATTTCTACTTATATGAGCAAATTTTCAAAATGGATTCTTAATCCGTTTAACATAGAGTGAAGAATATCAGAGAAGATGTCATTCTGAGATAAAAAATCAGCTTTTTTCAAATTTAACGAACCGTAACTCCAAAACGGCACAGGAGTTGACATTAAGATTTGAAGAATTAGATTTCTTGAAGCCTTCTAGTACTATGAGCGAATTTTCAGAACGCATACTTGATCTGTGTAGATTGGAGACACAAACATATAGAAAGGTGTCGTTTTTGACATAAAAGGCAGCCTTTTTCCAAATAAAACTAGATATAGTTCTAGAATTATACATGAATTTCCAATGCGGTTTAAAGCATTCGTTTTCTTGAAGTTTTCTAGTTCTATAAGCAAATTTTCAGACCGATGCTTCATCTAAACAGATTTTTGGAGTAAGGAATATCTAGGAAGCTCCCATTTTTGAGTTAAAAAAAGGCTATTTTGAAATTTAAGGAGACATAACTCCAGAACGGCACAAGAGTTCATATTGTGCTTTGAAGCGTTCTATTTCTAGAAGAGTTCTAGTTCTATGGGCTTATGTTTAGACCTGATCCTCGATCCATTTAGTATGGAGTGACGAAAATGTAAGATGTCATTTTTAAAATAAAAACAGCCTTTTTCAATCTTAACGCAGTGTAAGCCCAAAGAGGCGCAAGAGTTCAAAGCATTCGGTTATTTGAAGCTTTCTAGATCTATACGGAAACTTTAAGACTGGATACCTTGTCTATTTAGTTTGGAGTGACGAATATGTAGGAAGGTGTCATTTTTGAGTTAAAAAGAGCCTTTTTTCAAATTTAACATTACTCCAGAACATACGAGAATTGGAATTGCGCTTTGAAAGAATGAAAATTTCAATTTGATAGATGTATACTTCTCGGTTTTCTTCGAATAGAATACGCCACAAAATTCATGCTCTATAGGCGTTCCATACAACTTAGCAATTATTCCAAATCAAGTTATCACTATTTTGGCCATCGATCCTAAAGGCTAAAAAAGGCTACAGGCCGCCCGTAGGGCATTCCCCGCTCACCTGTTCGGACGACCGGCTGATGAAAGAGTGGCAGTATTGTTGATTGAAGTGGCCTTTGGGCTCTCGAGCGAAGAAGCTGAAAAGGCGGTGTTCTGGATCACAGGTCGCGTATGAAATGCGCCTTAGCGCGTGGGCCATGTGGACAATCTGCAACAAAAGTGGACAATTAATTACCTGCTGCGAGTTTGCCATGTTTGCAACGTGCCACATAAAAGTGTTTTAGTGCCGTGCACGAAAAACAGTCCATAACCATAACGCAAATAAGTTTACGACCGTAAGAAATTTGCCGGCTTGCGAAGTCATGTCTGAGCTTTGTCGTCGAAATGTTACACCTGTCGAGTGCTAATTGAGGTTTTATTGCTTCGCTATAATTTTATTTGTAACCAATTAATTCTTTTGTTCGGTGGAAGCTGGAGCGTTGGCAGAATTGTAAAAGTGACAAGAGTCATACGTAAGGAATGTGCAAATAGTAAAACTTTTTCCTTGTCACTAATGAATTTTTAATCAAGCTTGTCAAAGTCAACTTTGAACCAGAACGTTTTCGGCTTGAAAGGTGATTCAACAGGTGGTGTACCTTTAAATTATGGAAATATTATAGAAAACGTAATTTCCAATTATAGTCACATTACCCTACTAAAACCTTAACTCTAACATCCTCACCGATCTCTCACGAGAACAATAGTTCAACGTATGGAATTCAAAAAATCAAAATAACGGTGATTTCCTAACGGAAACGGCCGAGAACGCAACGAATCTATCATTATTAACAATAATAGTCGCTAATGACAGAAACAAACTATTTAATCACACACAATCATTTTTCCCGAAAAAATCGATCGATAACGGTGACTTCCCATGATTTATCAGACGTCCGACGCCGCAGTCTAGAACACCGATCACAGTGTCCGAGTTGGGAAAAGTAAATTCGTTTGCGCTAAGAGGAGCTGGGATTGTTTGTCGGCTGTCATATTAAGGGATGGAAGCGCCAGATATTCAGAAATGCACTACATTAGTTTTTTGTCGGCGCTGAATGGGGTGTTTTATGCAGGAAGCTGGAATGTAGTTAGCATAAACAATATACGTAGTATTCGCAACTACTAGACCGTGTTTAATAGATTTTCAGGCCGGTGCTGTTTACAGCTGGCATAACATCAAAGATAACACCTGTATTCCGTTATATAATTAGTGTGCATGGCTGGCTAGTTTGTAATAGGCAGAAGGTTTAGTTCGATGGAGGGCGGTTTTAGCACTTTTCCGACGCAAACGGGGACATGAAGGGCTTATTTGCACTATCAAAGGACATTTTTTTTTATAAAAAAAACAGAGATTAACAGAACGATTTAAAACTGGCTAGATATCTTCGTGGCTTGGACGTTTTGAGATTAATTTATTTTGTTTGCTGTTTTTTTTTGTAACGTTTCATTATAAATCTTGTTAAGAATTAGATTTCCTTTGAAGACTGATTGTCTTCAGGTGAATGGAGTCGCGGTCAACGAAGAAGCATTGTTAAAATTTATGTCGAACTGTTTGCTGTTAAACACAATAGGTATTTATCAGAAATGGGTTATTTCCGTATCGGGTCGCTGTGACAGCAAGTAGGCGGTTTTGTAAAGTGCGAGTCCGAAGTTTCAACATAAAAGCACAGATATTTAAAATCAAAGAATTTATGTTATTGTTCCACTACTATAAATAGTCCTGTGATTATAGCTGCATTTATAACTTACGGTGAACAACAACAGTGGTGAAGTCAACTTTAGTGACCTAACTTTGATTTTTAACGAACTACCTTCCAACGAAAGCAGTTCTAAAGCAATGTGGTTTTATTTTTCAGAACATTAAGCAAACATACTCGTTTACTCCGAATCCAAATTTTATGCAATTTTATTTATATGAAGAAAAATTTATGTTTTTCACAGATTATTTCAAATTACTAAAAACCACATGGAATCCTTGAAATTTTTTCAAACTACTTCAAAACCAAAAAACAAGGGGTCCTCGCGATGCTTTCCAACTACTTCAAAAATCAGACACAAGGGAACTAGATTCTTTAAATTACTTCAAAAACAAGAAAGGGATCCTTGAAATTCTTTCAAACTACTTCAAACACAAGGGGTCCCCAAGGTTTTTTTAAATTAAATACTTCAAAAATCAGACAAACTCTCCCCCAGATTCTCCCAAAATGTGTATACACGTTTCGTTTAGGATATACTTCATAAAATATTATGATAATATTGAGCTCTTTACGATGGGCTGGAGATGTGTTAAACCACTATTGATGGGAACTGCAGTTATAGTGTCACCTGAATCTACCTGATACTTAATCTAAGACCGGACTTGGAAGTTTTGGTTATCTGGGTAGTTTACGATGAAAAATAATATATAAGAGGAATAATACTCGAAAAATCTCCTGTACCCACATCAATTTCGATGAAATTTGAAATTCAGAGAAGGAATGGTGTTTAGGAAAATCCACACATGGACAGACCAGCCTGGGGTCTATATAATTTTATTAGGTATACCCTAAATGAATAGACTATACTTAAAAAATAAGACAAAACGCTTGCTCCAGATTCTTTCATACTATCTGAAAAATCAGATACAATGGTCTCCGAGATACTTTTAAATCGCTTCATAAACAAAATCCAAAGGGTTCCCCGAGATTCTTTCAAATTACTTCAAAAACAAGACGCACAGAGACCCCAGATTTATTCATATTATTTGAAGAGGTCCCCGAGACTCTTTTAAACTACTTTAAAAACAAAACCTAAGGGGTTACCGAGTTTTTTTCAAATTACTTCAAAAACCAGATACAAGGGGTGACCGAGATTCTTTCAAACTAGTTCAAAAACTAGACACAAAGAATACCCAAGATTCTTTCAAACTACTTCAAAAACAAAAACCCAAGGTCCAAGATATTCTTTCACATTATTTCACAAACCAGATAAAATGGGTCTCCGAGATTCTGTCAAACTACTTCAAAAACCAGATACAAGGGGTCTCCGAAATTGTTTCAAACTACTTCAAAAGCCAGACACAAGGAATCCCAAGATTCTTTCAAATTCCTTCAAAAACAAAAACCCAAGAAGTCAGAAGATTATTTCTAATGACTTCAAAAACTAGACAAAAAGGGTCTCCGAGATTCTTTCAAACTACTTCAAAAACTAGACACAAGTGGTCCCTGAGATTCCTTCGAACTACTTTAAAAACAAATTCCAAGGGGTTCCTGAGATTCTTTCAAATTACTTGAAAAACAATACATACAGTGATCCCCCGATGGATTCCAATTACTTAAATTAGATTATATTTTGCCTTTTTTTTTAATATAGATAGCCATCTTTTCACAACAAGAAATTTGGAACATGGTTAAAATGGTACATTTTCCTTATATTTTAAACATGTTGTAAGTTTTATGATGTGAAAAGAAGACTACACATATCAAAACAACAAGGCAAAATCTAAGCCCGCCCACCCACCCCATCTCTATTGTGATGATTTTTTTATTCGCAGTAAACCAAGGAGGCGGAGAGTAACTGCAAAATAATGACTTATTTACAAGAAATAAAAATATATGTTTGAGTATCGTGTTGTTCAAAGAAAATACTATGTACACTAAGAAAAAAATATATTTCTTTTATTCTTCGAAACTTACAACACTTCAAATGGTAAATTTTTGTAAGGAAATATGGATTTTGCAATTAGGCTCTGCCCTCTTGACCCACGACGAATAAAAAAAATCATCACAGTCGAGATGGGGTGGGTGGGCGGGGTTTATATTTTGCCTTTTTTTCTTAATATGTGTAGTCATTTTTTCACAACAAAAACTTAAAGCATGTTTAAAATGGTAAATTTGCATAGGGAAATATTGATTTCGCAATTACGCTCCGCCCCTCGGTCTGACAGCAAATGAAAGATTCATCACGATTGAGATCTAGACGCATGGGTGGGACTTCTCTTTTGGCTTTCTTTAACACGATTAGTTAAGAACACGCTTCATATGGTAATTTCTCGTAGAAAAATAAGGATTTTATAATTAAGTTCCGCCCCTCGACTTACGACAAATAAAAAAAATCATCAGAATTGAGATAGGGTGGGTGGGCGGGGCTTATATTTTTCCTTTTTTTTCTTAATATACATAGCCATTATGGGACGGAGTCTAATTGCAATAATGGATATTTCCTTATACAAATTCTCCATTTTAAACATATTTTAAGTTTCATGATGTGAAAGGAGTCTACACATATTAAAACAAAAAGGCAAAGTTTAAACCCCGCCCACCCCCCCGTCTCAATTGTGATGATTTTTTTATTTTTAGAAGCGTACAACACCTTTAAAATTGTAAATTTTTGTAAGGAAATAGGGATTTTAAAATTAGCCTCCGTCCCTAGGTCTAGCAACGAGTGAAAACTTCATTACTATTTAGATCACGGTATGGGTCTTTGGCTTTAATTTTTTCTTAAAATAACGTTGAACCACACGATACTCAAAACATGTTTTTAATTTCTTGTAGAGAAATAAGGATTGTGCAGTTAAGCTCCGCCCTCTTGGCTCACGACGAATAAAAAAAATTAATCACAAATGAGAGGGGGGGGGTGGGCGGGCCTACATTTTGCCTTCTTTTTCTAAATATGTGTAGACTTATTTCGACAACAAGAAACTTAAAACATGTCTACTTCACAAACAAAATAAGGGATTCCCAAGACTTTTTTCAAACTACCTAAGAATAAAACAAAAGGAGTACCGAGAATCGTTTAGACTACTTCAAAAATCAGACAAAAGAGATCTCCGAGATTCTTTCAAATCACTTCAACGGGAATTTTTCAGGTTATGTACTTCAAAAATATGAGGAGAGATTCCCGAAATATCTCCAAACTACTTCTAAAACCAGATACAAAAGATCCTCGAAAATCCCGAGATTCTTTCAAATTGCTTCAAAAACAGGACGCAGAAAGATCCCCAGATTCATTCAAATTACTGGAAGGGGTCTCCGAGACTCGTTACAACTACTTTAAAAAACAAAACCTAAGGGGTCACCAAGGTTTTTTCAAACTACTTCAAAAACCAAGCAAAAGAAATCTCTGAGTTCCTTGTAAACTACTCCAAAAACGAGACACAATGCAACTTCAAGATTCTTTCAAACTACTTCAAAA